GCGGATGAAATAGTCCTGTTTGGTGAAGACGCTGACAAAATGCAGAGTCTTCTGGTAGCACTGAGCAACAATGCCAGGATGTTTGGAATGCGCTTCTCTCCCTCTAAATGCAAGCTGTTGCTTCAGGACTGGTCTGCGTCAACACCTGAACTAAGGATAGGGAGTGAAGTAGTCGAACGCGTTGACAACTTCACTTATCTTGGAAGCCTGGTCAGCCGTATTGAGTTAGTGCCGGACGAAATTTCTGCACTGATCCGAAAACTCGTTTGGCTTTGCCAACTTACGTCACCAAATGTGGCGAAGGCGAGATATCCGTCTATCAATAAAAGGACGAGTATACTGCGCGGCAGTTCGTTCTGTTTTACTTTACGGCAGCGAAACATGGCCATCAAGAGTAGAAGACACTCGTAAGCTACTGGTATTTGACCACAGATGCCTTAGAAATATTGCTGGCATCTGCTGGGATCACCGAGTAAGTAATAGTGAGGTTAGACGCAGGGTATTAGGGAATGATGGTAAATCAGTTGATGAGGTTATGAATCTTCATCGACTGAGATGGTTGGGCCACGTGTTACGTATGCCTGAATACCGATTACCACGACGTGCAATGCTAACCGGTGTTGGGGATGGTTGGAAGAATGTTAGGGGCGGCCAAACCGAAACGTGGCATCAGTGCCTGAAGTCACTATCTTCTAGTCTGAGCCATGTTGGTAGATGCAGACTACTTGGTTGGGGTCCGCGTGAGTATCGTAACCAATGGTTGGAGACTCTTGATGACATGGCTCAGAATTGATCACAATGGCGTAGGTGTATACACTGTCTGTCTTTACTTAAGCTAAGAGATTAAAATCACTTCATATCTTTTTTTCTACGAACTAATTATTTCTTCCTGTACTATATCCTTATATACAATCTTTCTTTTATATATTAATACCATTGACTTAACCACTCCTATGGATCCACTGTTCATATTGTTGTGCTAATTAGGTATGGCAACGTGGAACGATGCATATATGTGCCTGGTCCTACGTTGTAGCTGACTGAATCTGACATTGAACGATTCAGGTATTTCTGGAAAGACAAATACGCTATATAATATAATTATAAATAAATTTTATAGCGGTTTTATTTCAAACTAATTGGAAGAACAAAACATTCGTAACATATGAATAATTCCTTGATTTATATTTTAACAAAGCATATTATGAGATACTTATAGGTATATTGAACATTTTGTGATTTCAGTGGATGTAAAACAGTTGGAATTTTTAGGAATGAATGTTGCTACCCAACATTTTCCGTTTTTAGGGTTATATTTTATGGTTCTAAATAATAATGCAATTTTATCAGTCGAAAAATTACTAAAAATATGGACTTAAAAGTTAACCCATAAAAGTGATTTATGTAAGCAGTTGTCATGAAATATACTTTTCAGTATATGGTTATGGAGATTGTTGAGTTTTCATTAAGATAATGAACCGATCAGTGTTACATCACCATTGAAGAACTAAAATCACTGGACGGCCGATTCGTCCCAGTATGGGACTCTTCAGCAGTGCACATCCACGAACCCGCCTTGCGAGATTTGAACCCAGGACCTATCGGCCTTGCGCGCGTACCCTTAATCTCTAGACCACTAAGCCGGCATCCAACGGTGTTAATGTTTAACTAAAAACAATCCACGATATTGCGCGAGTGTCCTCCATTGTCTTCAGTAAGTAACTGCCTCACACCAGACACGGTTGAACCATGCTGGTCACGGATTTTCACTAGAACTCCAGAGAATCCATCTTGAAGTTAGCCGATAGTGAGTGCATGATAATTATCAGTATAGGGTTGTGGAGATGGTTGAGTTTTGATTGAGATCATACTTTTGTCAGTACGGAGTTTTAAAGATTGTTGAATTTCATTGGAATCATGGACCGATCTAAGTTAGACCTCTGAAAACCTGGAAGCACTAGGTGGCCGTTTCATCTTAGTGTGCGGCTCCTTAGCGATGGGCACCCATGACTCCACATGTGAGAATGGTATTTAAAACCTTCGTTCATGCACAATAACACTTGATCTTTAGACCGCTTTTTGGTCCCCAAATGCCGTAAATACGGCTGAGGGTGGGGAGAGTTAACCACGAGTGTACAGCTACTGCTAGGGAAGATCTACTCACTGCCTTCTCGCGACGGGGGTTTTGTTTACGGAATTGAGAGGACGAAAAGCGGATGTCTAGCGCTTTAACCAGACTCACGGGCACAGAGGGTCCACTTAGGGGAGTTGGAAAATCCTGACTCCAAACCAATGATGCACATGAGCTCCAGGATTCTGAAGGAACAAGTGGCGTATGAACCAATCGTCGGTCACTGACTACCATAGGACTGGATCTCCTGACGTCGCTCCACTGCCTTGTGCATCAGACCTTTAGGTCGAAGGCTCCGGGCGTGGCCTTTTAAGAGAACCACCTGCTTCTGACTGGGCAATATCCTAGCCCACACATGGATCAAGTAACTTGTGTGGTGCATATGTATTTGGTGCCCCTTTGTAATTTGAGGTGTGTGGAGGATTGCTTTTTTGGTGAGGTTGTGTAATGGGTGAAGGATGAATTGGGGGGTTTTGGGGGAGTTAGGTTTGAGAGTTTGTGGGGTTGGGTTGGATTATTAGAATGTTAATGTTTATTGTGATGTGGAAATAGTTGGTAGGGGGGTGTTTTTTTTGTTATTGTGGGGTGGGGGTGGATGGTTTAAGGGGGGGGGTGGGGGGTGGTTTGGGGGGTTGGTGGTGGGGGTAAATTTTTTGTTTGGGTGTTGGTTTGGTTGGGGGGGGGGGGGGTGGGTGGTGTTTGTTTTTTTGTTGGGTGGTTGTTGGGGTAGTTTGTATTGGGGTGGGATGGACGTTTATATTGGGGAGGGTGGGATGGAAATGTGTGAGGGAGGGGGAAATGAGTGTTTAATGGATATTGGTTGTGGGGGGGTTTAGGAATAATGGAGGAATGGGGATGGGGGGGGAGTTTGATTGAGGGTGGTGGTATTGTTGAGGTAGGGGAGGTTGGTTAGGGTTATTGGGGTTAAATTGTTTTTGTGGGGTATGGGGATAATTAGTGGTGTGATTTGTATATTGGTGTTGGGTTGTTGAAAGAGGGTGAGGGTGTGGGGTGTTTGAGTGTGGGATAAGTGATTGGGAGTGGGGTTGGGGGGGGGATGTTGTAAGTAGGTGTTTGTTAGGTTTTGGGGGGGGTGTGGGGGTGGTAGATTTTTTGGGGGTTTTTGTTTGATTTGTTGTGGTTTTGGTTTTGTGGGGTGTGAATGGTGTAATATTGTTTTGATTTGGGTGAGGTGGTGTTATTGTGTTAATTTGTTTGGGGGTGGGGAGTTTGAGGGGGAGAGTTGATGTTTTTTTAAGGTTGTTTATTTAAAGGTGATTTATTAGTTGTTTGTATTGTATTGTTGGTGGGAATTTGTTGGATTTGTTGTGGAATGAGGGTTATAGGTATGGGTGTATGAGTGGGGGTTGTTGGATTGGGAGTTTGTAATAGTTGGATGGGGTTTGGAGAATAAGTTATATGGGGGTTATGTATAGTGGGTATTGCGAGTTTGGTATGAAGTATTGGACCAGTTTTTCAGAAAACTTTCTGCTATTCTATAAAGAGCCGGATGCTTGGAAGTTATAATTCTAGCAGGAAAACTTAACGCCCACGTAGGTAGTCTAAAATAAAGTGATAGGCACTTATGGGGGTCCCAGTGTCCCAGCTCAATGAACAGACAAGAGGAACCGTCTGCTACATTTTTTAAAATATTGGATGCGCACTGCCGAGATGTCCCACAGTAGGACGAAACGGCCGTCCAGTGCTTCCAAGTTTTTCGTGGTGGTCAAGCTTCAATTGACTGATCTCAACTATTGAAATTTTTCTTTTGAATCGTATCTTTGATACCTAGTCTTTTCTATTACCACTGATACTGTTACTACCTCTCCCATTCTGGGATTTGGTATGACAATTTCATCCCACTACTTTAATGAGGTCTGATAACTTGGACAGTTGTACATACGTACTAGGTTCTACATTGTGACTGAATGATTGTCTGCTAAACTGATAGATGCTCAACCCATTAGGCCGCGAACAAGATAATGAGTGAAGGCTATCAAAAGTATATGCGATGATCGGGAACAAAGGTAGGCAGCTAAAGCAAGAGCAATTGAAAATAAGTTAGAGTTAGGCAACAGTAATTAACTTTACATACTTATAAAAGAAACAGGCATTTAAAATCAAGGAGTTAGTGGAATTAGTTCCGAAAGAAAATTATCTGCTATTAATCGAAGAGACGGGAACGATAAAAGAAATATTTCGAAGAACTGATTGCCTGCTCTCCAAATACCTTTCATTTCCTTACCTGCACTAAGTAATCTGAATAGGATTTCAGCATAAGCCTCCTGACTCTTAATAAAGTAGGAAAATCCAGAGCCTATATAAAGTGATGAAGATAAACATGCTTTGATGGATCAACCCGAGATCTTCAAGATTGTTGGTCTAGTTCTAGCTGTCAAATTAACTGGGATATTAACTAGTCTGGGAACTGGACGTAATCCTACTTGGCTAATTGCGATCGTTGACCACTGCAGTGTATGAGTAGAAACATTTTTGATTAAAAAGAGGAGTCAGTTTTAATAATATATAATATAAAGAACCAGCCCTAATAATTATCAGGACCCATAATAGGAACCATGGAGAAGAATATTGGGAAATTTAAATTTCATGATAATCATTCAATTTATTCTTGCATTATCTCCTTGCGTGTTTAAAGGTGATAGGAAAAATACGTCAGTCCTTGAAAACTATTACGACTGCACGAAGCGTTTAGCTAATACTATGCAGAGGCTTTCTTCTGAGCGGCATACATAAAGAGATGCATCATTATCAAGACATAAGTAACAGAAATTGATACGCTTACAAAGGATTCACAGTAATATATTGAACGCAATTTCGTAGAAAAGCAATATATTATCAAGAAAATTACTTGTTTGACCATTTGATATAATATCTGTAGGACCTTTATGGACAATGGTGACACCAAGTTTTTCAGCAAGAGATCTTGTCGCATCTTTGGTATCATATGGTTGAGACGAAAACTGAATAAATGCGTTGAGTATATTATTGACATAATTACCACAGAGTAATATAATCTTGAAAACTCAACAGTGTTTGGAGTAAGAATAATTTTATCATAACCTTCTATGAGTGATGGATTTTGAGTAACGATATGCAAAGCATCAGCATCAATGACAATAGGCTTGTTAGAATGCTTGCAATAATCTATCAGCTACAAAGTACTATTATTTAAAAGTAAATGGTAATAAAAAGAACTTTTGTAGTATTTTCAACATTTTCTGTTAGTCCCAGACCAGGTCCAAATGTAATTGCATGAACTCTGTCCATACATTTGGTCGCTTCTGCTAGAACTCCATCCCTAGAAATTAGGTAGTAATATGGACTGTTTATAGAGAATTACAGAACAGGATGAACGATCAATTCGGGACTATATGACTTGATAACAGGAGAGGAAGAAGCAGAACATACTACATGAACTAAATCAGCACCCTAGAATTTATATTACTTGTGTATGTTAACTTACACAATGCAAAGCACTAATAGCGGAAAAGTATGGTGCTCCAGTATATCTGCTAACTATCAATAATACATGCATGAACTGACTCTTTTGATCCTCCCACTACAGCAATTCTTCCCATTTGACCTTTATGAAGACCATGTGTTAACTGAGGAATAATATTAGCTATGTCGTCAATCATAATACGGTAGCGTAGCCACAAACACCGATTACACCTCTGAAAGTAGGAACATCTGTAAGGAAAATCAAATAGGGTTTTTAAGCCAATTAATAGTGTTGAACTTAATCGCTTAATAGTGACTTATTGTCTGAAGTGTTCTAGATTCATAGTAAAAATTTAACAGGCGAACGATAAACCTAAGTTAGTGAATCCAATTAAAAGACTAGACAGTGAGACTATAATTTATGGAGGACCGTTGGGCAACGCCAGGATTAGTTTTGTATTGGCCCCCGAATGCCCTGGTACGGCCGAGAGTGGGGTGAGTCCGCTCTCCCTCTCGAAATACTCTCACACGGCCGCGCGTATACAGCCTCTGTCAGGGAAGTCCTACTCACTGCCTTCTCGTGACAGGGGTGTTGTTTACGAAAATGAGAGGACGAAAAGCGAATGTCCGGCGCTTTAACCGGATCACAAACCAATGGTGCACATGGGCTCCAGTATCCTGCGGAAACAAATGGCGTATGAACCAATCGTTGGTCACCGGCTACCATGGGATTGCATCTCCTTACGATGCTCCACTGCCTTGTGGGTTAGACCTTTAGGTCAAAGGCTCGGGGAGTGGCCCCCTAAGATAACTACCTGCTTCGGTTTGGGCACCCGGGCATTCGTATTGGAAAGGTACGTCAGTCAGTTACAACGTAGGACCAGGCACATATGTGCATCGGTCCAAGTTGCCACACCTCATTAGCACAGCAAGATGAACACCAAATTCATAGAAGCAATTAACTCAACGGTGTAATATATAAAGGAAAGATTGCATATACGGGTATAATACGACGCTCTTATCTGCTCCCAGTCCAGACGTTTAGAACGATGGGTGGAACATTTTAGATAACGGTTCGGCTGGCCTTCAGCTACTCTACAACTACCCTCCATTCACAGACAGTGTGAATGGAACATTGAAGTAGGTCCCCCAACTCTTGCTGAAGTTCAAAAGGCTATAGTTAATCTGAAACGAGGAAGGGCAGCTGGTCCAGATGGATTGGCTCCAGGTCTTTAAGGATGGTGATCCAATCTTAGTGGTTAGGTTGACTAATATTTTAGCTAAAATCTGGAAGTTGGACGTTATCCCATCTAACTGGTCACAATCACTTATCGTCCCAATATATAAGAAAGGGTCAAAATCATCCTGTGACAACCATAGAGGGATTAGTTTAACTAATATAGTATCTAAAATACTAGCCTCGATAATTATCGGACGCCTAACTAAGACTCGTGAACTGCAAACACGAGAGAATCAAGCTGGCTTTAGACCTGGTCTTGGCTGCATCGACCACATATTCACCATTCGTCAGGTTCTAGAACACAGGCATGCTTATCGACGTCCGACAATGGTGGTCTTTCTTGACCTAAAGGTAGCATTTGACTCTGTAGACCGAGAGGTTCTGTGGCAGTGTCTGTCATTGAAAGGCGTACCTCAGAAGTACATGAGGCTTGATGACCTGTGTTAGTTCTGGCAATGGCGGTCTCTCAGTCGACCCAAGTTGCTTTTGAAAGCATCGACGGATAGAGCGTCAATCATCTGTTGGAAGACGAATTCCATTCGTTGATGATTTAGTGGGAAAATTGATAATCAACTGACAAATAATTTGTTCTGACCTTGTGAGCTTTTTTAGTGTCCTCGTAAATCCACTGATTTGAAGGACAAGAAAAGTGAGCGCATATCAGATGCGAATTTATCGATAAGTAATCTAAAAATTGTGATCGAGTCACTTTTAGTTTTTCTATGACGATGGAAATAGGCTTAGTTAGGCCAGTCGAGTATCAAATGGGAGCATTTCTATTCTAGAAATCAGCTTAGTTGCGGTTGCTCGAATCTTTCACAATGCCTCACTGTCTCCTTTTAGTCAAGAACTAGCCACTTGTATGCAGTACTCGAGTTTAGGACTATCGAATAACGTATAAAAAGTTTCTAGCATCGACATAGCTAAAGGCTCTACATAATGATCATAGGATTCTAAAACCTTTGTAGGCTATCACACGGCAGTGTGCAGTAGTTTTTAAGCCTTGGACAACTATGAATTTTAAGCCAAGGTGTGTCTGGGCAACAGGTAGTTCAATGTTATTCACTGTGTATGTATTTGTACCTTGAAGACGGCGAGACTCTAATTTAGCGACGAGCCAATCAGAAGCGTTTGAGCACCCTAACCTCTAAAATCCGTTGTAAACTGATCGCATGTTAGCACCCTAAACCCTATGGACGGGTTTCTATACCATATGCATTATGAATTCAGAACCTTTATCAAACCTTAACAAGTTTTTAAATCATGTAAAAGAAGAATATCCACTGTAATTCATTACTTACAATATATTTTCACTTTATACTGTCTTCTGATTGTCTAATAATTGTCAAGGTCATTTAAGATTCGTTCAAAGGTCGTCGCTAAATTAGTATCGCCTTGGGGACTAATATTTATCACCATGCACTTGTAAATATTCTTCGATAACCACCAAATTCTAGACCATTCAAATAATTTCTTCAGGTCATTTTGAAGCTTTAAACTATCATCTTTACCTTTTTGAAAGTACAACCATGGGTGTACTTCTAAATTCATTAGATAGATTTAGCAACCCATTTGTCCCTCAGGTTTGTGTCTGAATGACATTGAAGATCCTGAAGTCTCTCTAAACCTGCTAAGTACTACATTGTTTATTCAATTCACAAAATATACGACAGGAGTACATCATATTGTCAACCTTCAGCCCATTAATCACACCGACAGCCGCTATTTAATTTTGGGCAGAATCCAGGACTCAGATGGTCAATCTGAATAAAACATCCAGCTTTACCACGTAAAATGAGTTGATTAAGGAATTCTGCATCCTTATCAGCGATATTAAAAGAAGACAGCCGACTTAGCTGTGCTAGCAAAGAGAAATGCAACTCACGTAACGTAGCAATACAGTATAGCGCCAAAAATTCAAGTGGTCTAAAATGGTTCTGGACGGAATAGATAAGCTTTCGCTTAAATAGCTTCCGTATCTAATGGGATTGGATCACCTTTAGAATGCGAAGTCTGCAACATGACCTAGATGGACTACTTTACACTTTTAAGTGTTAAACGTTTATTGTTGTCCGCCTAGATTTGAAGTCCAGTCAGATCCTCCTAAAATGCCAGCTTATCATCTTGATTCAAACTTCTCGACAAAGTTCCACATCATCAGCGAAAAGTAATGAACGGCAGGACACTTTCTCAGAAGGGTCATTTATGTAAACTGAGAAAAGATTTTCTAGTGCTGAACATTGAGGAACCCTACTAGGACATTCTGAAACCTAAGAAAGAGTGCAGTTTACCCTGACCTTAAAAAGTTAATTATTTAGGTATGAAGTAAACCGACCAAGCAACGGTGACTTGACACTTTACTTGTCGAGGTTACTGATAAGGCGTACTTTGTTCTGAGAATTCGATATTGTACCAATAATATAATATTGAATAAAGCTAATAATAATAATATGACTGGCCCGATTAATAGCTTTTGAGAGGTCAAGGTATATGTCACCAACCATCACCTTATAACCAAAGACAGGCTGCCTATCTGTCCACCGCGGTTATCAGGTTTGCCATACAAGAGCGACTCCCTACAACCGTGCTGTTGGAGTAAAAAGAAGTTTGTGGATAGTAATTAGTGACGTAGACCATCATATAGCGAAGACTCCATAACTTTTATGGATATTGTGAGGAGTGCTACAAGATGACAGCTTGAAGGCTCTCTGAGTCGGGCCGATTTGAAAATCGATGCGATGTGAGCTAACCTCCAATTTTCTGGTATCGTGCCTCAGCTTGGTGAATTTGATAACAGCACAACAAACGTTTTAGCAAAGATTGAAGCCGCTCCTTTCATTATGGCAGAATGAACAACATTCGGAGAAATGTCCACATTTTGGTGTTCCAGTATCTGATATTCCAAGTCTGAGCTCATATTCACTTCTATGAGTCCTCCTGAATTACAGGCGATGCTTTTTGTTGGCCGTGGTTTTTAAGGGGCGGTTATAAATTTTATTAATACTGTTCTATCAAAAGGTCGACGGCGTCACCGTCGTTTTGGTTGGAATTTCATATGTGCGAAACTTCATTTTCGACTTGTTGAAGAGGGGCTCCATGATGAAATACGCTTTTCGGACAAGAGACAAATTTATCAATTCGCTTTATCTGATGCTAAAGCCTATTTTATTGTCCGTATGCATTGGTTTCGGTGCTTGTTTGAACTGCCTATATGTTCCGTCGCCACCAGTTTGTTCGTAATCAACGACGGGCGCCTTAAGGCTTGTTAAATGATACATAAAAATTGGGCAAATATAATCATAATCCTTTCGCCACACTCTGAAATCAGACAAATACAACTATGGTAAAGAATAAAAAACATTTGATCGATTATTTGAATAACGATGCGGAATATGTTGTTTTTTCGAGAAAAGTAGCGAAAATCAGTGTCTTTAAATATTTTTGGGTAGCCTGAAAGGTGGCGCTATCTAAAACCGAATAACAAAATAAATCTCTGATAATGCCACGCCCAAATTTCCGGAAGTTAGTTTGTGAAATGTTCATTAACCAACATCACAAGAACGCTTTGTAAGTCTGCCACTGCATTATAAATATGTTTGTACAAACACATTTATATTTAGAACAACATATATAAGCGAACAATATTGTTTTCGACTAGATCCTCATCAGGCTTTACTCTAATATACAGTAATATTTATAAGCATATACAAAATTATTAAACCAATCAAGGTAGTTTATAAGTCAATGATAACAATGGAAAAGATTACATAATAAGTAAAATGTGAAAAGTACAAATTGATGGTGTGACAACAGGTGCATTCGTTTTGATAAGCAACAATAATAAAGGTTCAAATCAACGTTACATAATCTGAAATAGGTCAATGATTAGAAAAATATAGAAACTGAGATAACAATTATAAAATTATGAGATGACGTAATAATAAATGTCCAGATAATTGGACCATGAAACGTATAGTGGATATCCCAATTCAATCAAAATATTATGAATGTGTTGTAATTCTCTATCAATAGTGTCGACTGAGCATATCTTAAGAGCTCTATTTGCAAGACATTTGACTAAGTTTCTCTTATAATGAAGAGGCACAAAGCTTAAAAAATGTGTGTATTGGCTTGGAGAAAAACTTTCTATACACACCCCTGCCGATAGAACCATATTCTTTTCTACTTAACAAAACGTCCAGAAAATTTAGTTTGTTATCTATTTCCTCCTCACATGTAAAGTTAATAGCAGGATGTTTGTTATTAAATAGTTCCAGTAGCTGTTCTTTTCTAATGTTATAAGATGACGTAATAATAAAGCTATATTGGGCGCACTACCAGGCAACTGAACCAACGAGTTAGTGAACACCTCCCTTCGTGGTTAGGAAAAGGTTACGTCAAACAATACGCAGCTCGGTTCTGTCACACTTGATCGATAGCGGTCAAAGTTATTTATCGGATTCCCACCAGTTTTCCTTATGGTGTTTGATCTCGTCTCTTACACATAGCAGAAGCTATAGGAATCCGAGCCAATAAGCCAAGTTTTTGTGTTCAGAAGAAATTTGTAGCTCCCTTATCTCTCCCTTGGCCTTAAGTAATAAATGAATTTATTTATTTATTTCTTTTCTAACTTTCTCTTCGTTTATTATTTTTCTTCACACCCTCCTACCACTTTATTTTCCCTCAACTATACGTTTCATGGTCCAATTATCTGGACATTTATTATTACGTCATCTCATAATTTTATAATTGTTATCTCAGTTTCTATATTTTTCTAATCATTGACCTATTTCAGATTATGTAACGTTGATTTGAACCTTTATTATTGTTGCTTATCAAAACGAATGCACCTGTTGTCACATCATCAATTTGTACTTTTCACATTTTACTTATTATGTAATCTTTTCCATTGTAATCATTGACTTATAAACTACCTTGATTGGTTTAATAATTTCGTATATGCTTATAAATATTACTGTATATTAGAGTAAAGCCTGATGAGGATCTAGTCGAAAACAATATTGTTCGCTTATATATGTTGTTCTAAATTTACACTTGTATTTATCGCACGACAAGGATACGAAATGCAGTGATTGCGCACACCACCAGGGATTGAGGCTTATCAGCAAAATATTTGACATTCCTCAGATACTTATCTTGTTCGTAAATTAGCCTAATTTAATCGTGTGTGCCTTCAGGAGACGAATATGATCGTACCGTGTGTATGAGACAGTATAACGAAATAGTGCTAATGGAAACAATCTTAGAACTTAAACATGACACAGTCAAGGACTCGATATCGAAGTACGGGGTATGAAGTTGTATTTTATCATAATGATAGGTTTAAAGATGTCACAAGTATTTGGAGTTCGACAACGCCGCAACCAGTATCACTGTTATAATCAAAGTATGCCAACACAGTCAAATCAAAAGTCAGGAACGAAAGAGTTCGACGATATGCTCGGAAACCTATCGGTATGTAGAAGGAACGTTTGGTATAAGCTGGTTGTAGTTGAAAGAGATATATAGCACGACGTACCGACACGTGATTGGGTGTGGATGCATGGCCGAGCACCTTCAGCCAGATTTATCCATTAAACCTAATGTGGTCAGCATCAAATGTCGAAGACTTACGGAGCTACTTATTTTTGTGATTCATTTACCGCTACAGATCATTCACCCTAGTGAGATAGTGATGACCCTAAGACGTGGCTAGTCAGAAGTTTAAACCTAATGATCTTGTCGATGCTAATCACTTATGATTACTTCCCATATTCAGCAGCGTGTGGTGCTCTTTCCTAACTATAATAGGCTATGCGGTACAATGTAGCAATGAGGAGAAATTACAATGAAAAATTCACTTCTTCGTAATCTTCCTCGGTTTTTCATCTTTTCCAGGCGTCCTGAAAAAGAAAAAAATGATATGTAAGTGCATGTCGAAAAACACTCGTATGTGGGTAAACTAAACAAAACGGGCGAAAAAATAAACTGGTGTACGTGCGTTTTGATAAAACGCAATAGAGTAGAAACAATTTTCGCACGGTGATGTTCCAAGAAAAAAATATATACATAAACACATGCATCTGAGCATGTTAACAAAAAGATTTGTTTTGGGTTTTTTTATACGATGAAACAATAAATAACAAAATGGTGCAGAAGGTTGTGTTGTCGATGCACTTTTTGCAGGATGTCCGCAGAAGTTCATAAACTCAAAAGAACAAGCAAATGTAACACTAAAGAAGTTGATGACAAGTAGTTGTCAGAACATCGGAGGTGCTAACGGCACTCCAAATTAGTTTCGAGACCTTGTTCCGGGTTTATCAAACGCTGTTAGGGTGTCCTAAGGAGTTCGAGTTTCGCGAGCGGGATCGTGGACGCGCACCGCTGGGGAGTCTCACAATAGGATGAAACGGCCATCCAGTGCTTCCAGGTTTCCAGCAGTCGTCTAACATCAATCATTTCATGGTCTCAATCAAAAACATTTCAGTCTTATTTGAAGCGGAGTTAGAAATCAGTTCATAGTGGTTATGTTGTAGCAAAGTGAGCGGCTTAGCGTTATACGGTGACCTCTTTTTCTAGTGGGCCAACCCTGTACAAATATTCGTCCAATCTGGCAACGTAAAACAGATAATAACGCTGAAAAACACTCGGATTACTTTATTTCGGCCTGATAACACAATAATCTTCTAATCAACAGACTGAAGTCAGTTGGAATAATAAACCCCCTTTTGCAATGGATCAAGTCTTTTCTTACGAACAGATATCAAATAACCAAGATTAACTCTAATACATCTACACCTCGACCGATAACCAGTGGTTTTGTGCAGGGTAGTGTCTTGGGCCCATTGCTCTTTATAATCTACATCAACAATATATGCAAGTGTTTTAGCACAGGTAAGACCTACCTCTATGCCGAT